CTTCACAGATATTCACAGTCAGGGGATTTCATCTATGGAGGTATCGCTTCATTGAGCACCTCCGAAGCCAACCAAATTTTCTTCAACCAACTTCCTCCTGGACCTGTCTTATCTGAAATGTTGGTATTCCTTCCTTTTTTTTCCTCTTCCCTACTTATGTCTCATACTTGGTAGGGCCCAACATGTAGGAAACATCTCTAGCACTCCTTACACAGCATTTCTATTCCTTTCAAGAAGGCAAAGGGTAGCTGCCTGGGATGTTGATGTTATCTGTGAAACAATTTCTGCAATCAGGCACTGACCTATTTCATTTGAAAACAACTTTAACAAATCAAAAGGAGTTTTCAAAAAGCTTCTCTTCTTCCATGAAGTATTTTTTTTCCAAAATATCAATCTGTGTATATATATATATTATCTCTGTGTGTCCTTTTTGAGTCCAGCCTGCCTGAATTAATCACTGCAGTTTTCTCGGAAAGATTTCAGAAGTGGTTTTCCATTGCCTGCTTCCTAGGGCTGAGAGAGAGTGACTGGCCCAAGGTCACCCAGATGGTTTGTGCCTAAGATGGGGCTGGAACTCATGGTCTCCTGGTTTCTAGCCAGGTTCCTTAACCACTACACCACTCTGGTTCTCTGGGTTTATCTGGTTTGGGTTATTGTTGTTGTTGCTCTTATTGCAAGTTGAACTTTGGACTTAAATTGTTAATTTATGTAAAGTTTTTTCAAACTGTGGAAATTTGGACAAAGATAATTAGAAGGAGCTTTTGTCATGATTATATTGCAGTATATCTGTTATTTATTTCTGGAATTTGGGAAAACTGATATGGATCTGAATTTCAATAGCATATTACCTCTGAAGATGAGATTCAGCACAAAGATGGAATGCCGCCAATGTATATACTTGAAGTATGCTGCTATTTTCAAATATGTCCTGACAATATTGGGTGAAATTTCCGGCTTAAATTATTTTCATTTCAATTCTCTACCAGTGTATAGGTATCTTCTGAAATAGTGTTTCTACCATCAAATCTTTTTCTCATACTCCTTAGGAGTAACGGGCTAAGTCGTCTGGCTAACATCAGTAAAAATCAAGCTATTCGGCTCCCACGTAACCCCCCCCCCAAATATATCCTTACTGTAAACAAACTTACTAAGGTGGTCCACCATGTTCCCACTTAGATTCCCCAGATTGCATTGCATTCTGTCTTTTCCCCACAACCTTTGTAACTGTGATCATTAAAAAAGTGTTTCCTTCTCCATGTAAATTAGGCTAGCACACTGCTGTTAACAGGAGAAAAAAGCTGTTCTAATACTAGGAAATTTATGCCCTCAAGTGCAATACATCTTAAAAGAACAATTGCCTTCTTAATCAACATCTCACATTATTTTAGTGAACAATAAAGAACATTGTAATGAACAATATTGAAAAATTGACAGTACAAAACCAAACAGAAAATCTGTCCAATGCTAATAATATTTAATGGAAACCTTTT